ATTAAGTTTCGTGCTAAAAGATAAGAGATGGTGGAGAATATGATTTTCCATCTGAAATTGAGGTTGCTGCTTTAAGCTAAAAAGTAAACATCCAGTAATCTCTGATAATGAGGAGTAGTTAGAAGGGTAGTTTTAATTGGTCTTTAGGAGTTGATTCCATTGTGTGGAGGTTCCTTTCATTTTCGTAAAAATATTTTAGTTTATTAGTCGTTAATATGTCAGAGAATAGTACAATGTTCATACTTTTGAATTGTTGAATTATTTTAATAATTTGTATTTTCTTATTTTCTCAATCGACTCGAATGTTTATAGTCTTTGAAAAAACTTAGAATTTCTTATACTGATGTGAAACTCGAATACAAATTACTACATTATGTATGTGATTGACAACTGGATCCGGCCAACTGGCCGGGCCCTGTGACTAGTTTCAACGGATGTATGTTCGTCTCTTGGTAAAGCAAAACAAATTCTGTTTGTATTGATATGGGATTAAGTTGGGTCGAATTAATTGTCTTCTAATTTTGTCGAGCTCGATTTTATTCGTAGTTATTGATCTTTTCAAGGGCTTGATGTGGTGTGATTTTCATATGAAACTTTGTGCTACGTACCTTATGCTATAGAATACAGGCTAATTGATCCGTTCCTTTCTAATTGAATACAATATAGACCCTTTTGTTACAATGAGGCTTCGTCTTTAAAGTCACTTAAGGGCTTGTTACAAATGGAAGATTGTCAATACAATAACAATAACAATAAGCTTTCAGAAGTTGATATGGGAAGTATTGTGTTTTACTTGGAACTAGGTGGCGATGTCGCGCCTTGTCGCGGGGCAGAGATGGCCTACGGGCATGTATTTTGTGACCCGTTAAGGTATTTCGTTAGTATTATTAGCACTTTTGTTAGTAATATTGACTAAGAAGAGATATATGACGGTCAACATCCAATTTAAAAATTTTGAAAATTTTGGCTAATAAATTATATTTTACCTAAACTCTAGTAGGCCCATTGATTGTGGGTAGGTATGGGTGACATATATTATGGGGTTGGAAATTTGTAGATGGCTTTGGGTAGCGTATGGATATTTACTTTCATAATTTAAATGTGTATGAGTTGGGTATTGATATCCATTTATTCGATGGTGTTTTAATTACACATACAAAATTAGACCTATTTGTAGAACTTCAAAAGTTTAGGTACTAAAATTATTACACAAAAATTTTAGATACTAAAATGTAATGTTTTGTCAATATTTTGAGGACTTATATGCCAAAAAAATAATTTTATATTATAAATCTAAAGATTTGTTAAGTTTAGGTATCCAACTGTAATTTGCATAGTTGAGGCTTAACTCTTTTTATGGAGATGTATTTAAGATGATAATTATTTACTTTTTTTTATAAAATAATAGGAAACTATTTATTTTATATGTATAATTGTAGAAAATTCTAGCCCGACTAAAAAAAACTCTAGAGAGAAGCAAAAGGAATACAAACTGGAACTCCCTTAAAATTTCACGCCTTCAAATCCCATAATGAAAAATGACGACTTTCTAATAAGCAATAACCATATATATCTATTTTTAATTAGACTCGACATTGAGTTGAAAAAATTAGTGGTTCCTGGTTCAATTATTAATTCTCTAGATTGTTGGTCGGTCGTGTATGGACACGTTCATATTTGTGATTAGAATACATAAAATAGTATACTAATTAGGGTAGACGAAGATAACAAAGAAAGAAATAAAGAAAGGGTTATGGAAGACAAGTGAAGAATGAAACGAAGAGGAAGTAGATGATGGAAAGATTTTGACCAATTCTTTTAGTTAGTCGTCAATACAACAATCAACCCTTTTCATGTAGTTAGTAGATGTTTGTTTAGTACCCCGTAAATGTACTAAATGAATTTATAAATTTTCTCTTGCAATATTTTAGAGTCGTGTCGCTTTTATCATTTATTTAATGTTTCACGTAATGAGCAAATAAAAAATGGCCGAATCTTCTCCTACAGTTTAGTGATACAGCATATTGTTTGATACAAATTAAATTTATACTTTTATGTTATGGTGGATTGGATTCACGGATTGGTTCAAAAGGACTGGTGGATTGGATTCATGTATTCAAGTGAAATCTAAATATTTGACCAATATGTAAATTTAAAAAATGTAATTACAAAAATCTCATAAAATTTAGGTACCAAACAATAATTGTTCAATTGGTTTACATTTAAATTAGATTTGGGGTATCAAATGTAAAATATACATTATAGTGACTAATTTGTAATTTGTCAAACAGTGACTAATTTGTAATTTATTTGGCAACAGTAACCAAACTTCATGTTTATATATATTAATATTAGGTAGAGCTGGTCGACCTCTTGATGTGCAATATTCTAGCTTTGAATCGGATGAAAACTATTTCCATACCTTTGAAACAATTTCTTACATGTCTATAACAATTTCGATTTTGCCTGACTATTGAATTCAATTTTCAAATAAGAGCTGTTGGCAGAATTCGAGGACGTGGGTAGTGCTGTCAATTTGGTTTGGTTTGGTTAACCAAACCATTAAGTATGAAAAACCAAAAACCAAATCCCAAAAACCAAAATCATTAAGGTCTTTATTGGTTTTTGATTGCCAAAAACCAATAAGGGCCTTAATGGTTTTGGTTTTGGTTTGGATAATCGAAAACCAAACATGTACTCATACACTCATATTTATTCCTATTTCCTTTCTTTTTATTGAATAATATCATAATAATGGTAAATGGCCATAACAAATTATTGGTTGGCATGCATGTCAAAAGAAAAAAAAAAGGGTTGATAAATAATTTTATTCTTATTGGTTTCTCATTCTATTGGTTTTTCGGTTTTAACCAAACCAAAACCATTAAGTTGCTTATTGGTTTAAAACCAAAAAACTGAAACCATTAGATTTCCAATTGGTTTGGTTTCGGTTAAAACCAAAAAACCAAAACCCAATAGACAGCCCATGACGTGGGTAGTGTCGCCGTGGCCGGTCTGTCCCAGCTGCCATTTGCTCCTCGTATATGGAGTATATGGACTTGTTTGAGGCTTTGAGCTGCGTCGTTGCCCTTCGGTGAGAGCGGTATAACATATAACATTATTAATTGAGAAAAAAATCTCCTCTTAATGCATCAATCTATAATACACATAAGGAATAAAACTTAATAATCAACTCATAGTTAACCCTTAACATTACATGCAACTAATATAATTATCTTATAATAATATAAGTAGCTCCCTAACAAAAATATATACCAATGTTGTGGATAATAAATTGAGAGTGTTTGTATGAATTGTCTTAATCTCCTAGCAATTATAAAATACTACAAATTCGTTCCTTTTAGATTTCATTCAATATAATGTATGATATTTATTTAAATTAGGACCTCATTTTTTTTTCGGAAGAAAAAATATGATATATGAACAATTACGATCTAATATCCAACAGATTATCATCCTTATATGATTATATCCCACTAGGAATGACAATGGGGTAGGTCTGGGGCAGGCAGGTCGGGTAATTTGACGTGGGCGCAGTCAGAGCAGGTCGACCCAATGGGTATGTAATTTATATGAAAAACATTAGAAATATTCGTTATTTTCAAGAAACAAGCCATAATATGATAAATGTAGTTAAATTATTGAAGAAGTTGAAGTTTCCCTTAGTTTATAAATTTATTATAGCTAAAATATTATGTAATAAAAGGAAAAATTCTAAGTAATTTGACTAAGATTGCATGTAATTTAGACAAGAACATGTCAAGAATAGGGCGGGTCAGAACAGGTTGTATCGAAGAGAATACTCATGTCTGCCTGTCACGCCCCGCCTAAAGGGTGAGTCGAACTAGTCCAAAACAAGGCAAACAAATCGAGTAAAACGAGTCAGGTCAAAATTGTCATTCATATATCTCACTCTTCGTGGTTGGTGATTGGATAAACCAATCTATTTTCCCTTCCCGAATCTGATTGGGAGGATTAGGTCTGACCAATCGAAACTTTGGGATGTAACAACAAAACCCAATAGCGTTAGAATAAAAAACCCTGTGTGTTTTTTCACAAAAAAAAAACCCTGTGTCGTGTCGTGTGCTTCTTCTTTTTCCTTTTCTCCATCCGGGACTCAAGATAGGGTGAGTAACCTTAGAGTGAGTAACAATGAGTAACCAAATCTGAACCCTTCTTTTAAGTGACTGCAGATCTAAGGATGAAGAATTAAAGGAATTTATTTTCCCTAGTTTTCTTAATTGGATCATATCTTCTTCATTCTAACTTGAATTTCAAATTTTTTTTTTGCACAGATGGAACGAGTTCGTTGTGCTCTACAAAATGATATCCATTTTCAATATTTTTTGAGAATTTTTTTTTTCATCCCTCTCGTTACCAACTCCATACCATATGGTATCTCCTTCGTTGTTAAGTCATTTTCAGAAATTTTTGCACAAAAGGAACGATTTAATCATGATCTATTGGATTTCAAAATTTTCTGGGGGAAAAAATTTCAAACCTCTCGTTACCAACTTCATACCATACTATACCACCTTTGTATGAGGTGGTATTTTTCATACCACCCTTGTATGAGGTGGTATTTTCATACCATATGGTATGTTGTTATTTAATATCATATGGTATTGACTGGTATTAAATAACAACATATGGTATTGACTGGTATTTTTCATACCATATGGTATGCTGTCATTTAATACCAGTATTACTGGTAATAACTGGCAAAAAAATTTTTGTAACAAAAAATATCAAAGTGGATATAATTCTAAAGAGCACAATTAATCTGATCTAACTGTGCAAAAAAAATTAAATTTTGAGTTAAAACGAGTGAGAAATCGTTCGTTAAAGATTAAGGGAAAGAAAATTAATGATTTTTCCAGGAGAGAGAAGGAGGCGTTGATGTGGCAGATTCTTATTGGGTTATGCATGTGGTTACTCACCACAAGTTTACTCACCGGATCTGCTCCCGTTCCTGAACTATGGAGAAACGCCGTCGCGTGGAGACCAAAGACGAAGGAGAATCCAACCAAATCCCGACATCAACAACCGGCGTCGGCGAACAAGAAACAGACCGGATATCGCAACTACCCGACGAGATCATCCATAAGATCCTCGCTCGCTTAGAACCCTCAAAAGAAGCTGCAAAAACCAGCGTCCTATCCCAAAGATGGGCCGACCTCTGGCGATCTTACCCAGTCCTGAAATTCCACGATACCCAGTTCTCGTCGATCAAATCGGCCAAGAGATTCGCCGAATCCGCCACCAAAAAGTTGGGCGATGGCAGTAACGGTACTCTGATCGCCATGGAAGCGATCAGGATTGAATTTGACAAGTTTGGAAGGCCGGCCGACGTCACCTGGGTCGACCCAGAATTCTGCTCTGTTTTCCTCGACAACATGTTGGAGTTGGCTATAAAGAGATCGACATTAAAGCCCGCTTCGATTACAACATTGACAGGTTCGAATCCTTGGATTTCGATGGTTCGAGGACATACACCATCCCACGGAGCTTATTCCTGCCCAGATCCAATCCCAGTCACCAATTAATTCGCCTCAAATTGGCCCATTGCATATTCGATCAGTTCAAGGAATAGTTTGATCGCGGGAGCCTCTCTCTTACAGACATTGTCTCTGCGGTCGATTGTGGGGATTCGGAGGCTTCAGGTCCGGAATCTTCCCAACCTCAACTACCTGTGGTTTGGAGCACATGTTGAGGATCTGGAGATTACAGGGGTCCCCTCTCTGGAAAGCTTGTACATCTGCGGGGCGCCTTTTGGAGGTGATTTTGTGGTGTCTTTGATGCCAAAGTTGAAATACCTAGGAGTAAGTAGTGGCTGTTTCGGTAAGAAAATTCAGAGCCTTTTTCCCGACAAATTATACTCACACTAGTTTCATCTTTATTTTGTTAACAAAATCCTATTTTGTGTTCCTAGTTTCACAAGCTTTCAAATTGACAGAGTGTGAGCTTGGTGAGTTGATCTCAAAGGCTCCGTCTCTAGAGTGGCTTACACTCCAAGGTCTTGCCCAAGTACGTGAACTGAAGATCGTCAATAACGATAAGCTTTCGACTGTCGATCTATTTTTTTGGAATGAGCTGCGGGTGATTGAAATGAATGCTCCAAGATTAACTCGTTTCAAATATTCGGGAAGGATTGATCTTTTTCTCAGAGTACTAGATAATGTCGATACCCACTACGAAGAAGTTGGCCGATCTCTTTATGTAGAATATTCTGATGCCGATGCTGACGGAAATGATTTCCACACATTGAAAAAAAAATTTGCACGACAAAAACAGACTTGGCTACACATGACTCTTAAATTCAAATTTCTATTAGATTCTGAGGTATGTGAACTTATCTTTTGTCTTAATTCCACTTTGGTACTGCATTATGCTTTCTATTGTTGGAATATGTTTCACTTCATATCACCTTATTGTACAAAAACAAGCCTGTTAAATTTTTTCATGACACTAACAATAGATTTTGTATTTAATGTATGATTGTTGGTGTATTATATTCAGTTTCACTGGAAAGAACCTTGCAAAGAGCTGCAAACTCCAACAATAGAACATGTGGAAATCTCGTGCAGGTTCTCAAGATTGCTTGACAAGAATGCTTTTATTGACAACTTGTTCCAAAATTTTCATCCTAACTACTTAAGTTTCACTTGAGAACTATTTAAATCTTCAATGGCGGACAACTTACACAATCCTACGGTATGGTCTTTTAATGGTTTATCAAAATCCATTTCAACTATATTTTTTTCCCTTAGCCCAACCTCAACCCTTACCAAATAGGGATTCGTTCTCTTTATAATTTGGTTCGTTCTTCCGTTTGTTTACAGTATATATGCGAGCAATTTATGGAGAGAGATTCAAATAATAATCTTTGTGAAATCGGGTGCAAGTGTTGGCAGCATCAACTCAGAGATATGAAAATTATAAAAAGAGTTAAAAACGGCAGAATAAGAGTAGAAGACGAAGACATAGTGATGGACATTTCAACGGATGTATGTTCGTCTCTTGGTAAAGCAAAACAAATTCTGTTTGTATTGATATGGGATTAAGTTGGGTCGAATTAATTGTCTTCTAATTTTGTCGAGCTCGATTTTATTCGTAGTTATTGATCTTTTCAAGGGCTTGATGTGGTGTGATTTTCATATGAAACTTTGTGCTACGTACCTTATGCTAATACAGGCTAATTCATCCGTTCCTTTCTAATTGAATATAATATAGACCCTTTTGTTACAATGAGGCTTCGTCTTTAAAGTCACTTAAGGGCTTGTTACAAATGGAAGATTGTCAATACAATAACAATAACAATAAGCTTTCAGAAGTTGATATGGGAAGTATTGTGTTTTACTTGAAACTAGGTGACGATGTCGCGCCTTGTCGCGGGGCGGAGATGGCCTACGGGCATGTGTTATGTGACCTGTTAAGGTATTTTGTTAGTATTATTAGCACTTTTGTTTGTAATGTTGACTGAGAAGAGATATATGACGGTCAACATCCAATTTAAAAATATTGAAAATTTTGGTTAATAAATGATATTTACCTAAACTCTAGTAGACTCATTGATTGTGGGTAGGTATGGGTGACGTATATTATGGGGTTGGAAGTTTGTAGATGGCTTTGGGTAGCGTATGAATATTTACTTTCATAATTTAAATGTGTATGAGTTGGGTATTGATATCCATTTATTCGATGGTGTTTTAATTACACATACAAAATTAGACCTATCTGTAGAACTTCAAAAGTTTAGGTACTAAAATTATTACACAAAAATTTTAGATACTAAAATGTAATGTTCCGTCAATATTTTGAGGACTTATATGCCAAAAAAATAATTTTAGGTTATAAATCTAAAGATTTGTTAAGTTTAGGTATCCAACTGTAATTTGCACAGTTGAGGCTTAACTCCTTTTATGGTGATGTATTTAAGATGATAATTATTTACTTTTTTATAAAATAATAGGAAACTATTTATTTGATATGTATAATTGTTGAAAATTCTAGCCCGACTGAAAAAAAACTCTAGAGAGAAGCAAAAAGAATACAAACTGGAACTCGCTTAAAATTTCACGCCTTCAAATCCCATAATGGAAAATGACGACTTTCTAATAAGTAATAACCATATATATCTATTTTTAATTAGACTCGACATTGAGCTGAAAAAATTAGTGGTTCCTGGTTCAATTATTAATTCTCTACATTGTTGGTCGGTCGTGTATGGACACGTTCATATTTGTGATTAGAATACATAAAATAGTACACTAATTAGGGTTAGACGAAGATAACAAAGAAAGAAATATAGAAAGGGTTATGGAAAGCAAGTGAAAAATGAAACGAAGATGAAGTAGATGATGGAAATGTTTTGACCAATTCTTTTAGTTAGTCGTCAATACAACAATCAACCCTTTTCATCGTAGCAATTTATTGACACTTGCTTATGTAGATGCCGCATATTCTGGTAAATGTAGTTCGTAGACGTTTGTTTACTACCCCGTAAATGTACTAAATGAATTTATAAATTTTCTCTTGCAATATTTTAGAGTCGTGTCACTTTTATCATTTATTTAATGTTTCACGTAATGAGCAAATAAAAATGGTCGAATCTTCTCCTACAGTTTAGTAATACAACATATTGTATGATACAAACTAAATTTATACTTTTATGTTATGGTGGATTGGATTCATGGATTGGTTCAAAAGGACTGGTGGATTGGATTCATGTATTCAAGTGACATCTAAATATTTGACCAATATGTAAATTTAAAAAATTGTAATTACAAAAATCTCATAAAATTTTTGTACCAAACAATAATTGTTCAATCGGTTTATATTAAAATTAAATTTGGGGTATCAAAATGTAAAATGTACATTATAGTGACTAATTTATAATTTGTCAAACAGTGATTAATTTATAATTTATTTGGCAACAGTAACCAAACTTCAAGTTTATATATATTAATATTAGGTAGAGCTGGTCGACCTCTTGATGTGCAATATTCTAGCTTTGAATCGGATGAAAACTATTTCCATACCTTTGAAACAATTTCTTACATGTCTATAACAATTTCGATTTTGCCTGACTCTTGAATTCAATTTTCAAATAAGAGCTGTTGGCAGAATTCGAGGACGTGGGTAGTGTCGCCGTGGCCGGTCTGTCTCAGCTGTCTTTTGCTTTTCGTATATGTGAAAAAAATCCAAAAGTACCACTATTTAAAAAAAGAATTCCAAAAATACCACCTAACTCCAAAAAATTCCAAAAATACGACCCTTTTTCAAAAATCGTCATCCCACCCTGCGGTTTACACGAAAACCACTGGGCGGGGGCACGGTTTTCTATGAAAACCGCGGCCTAGGGGCGATTATAAAAAAAAAAAATTGGACCAAACCGCTGGGTGGGGTGGCAGTTTGGGACAAAACCACCACCCCACCCAGCGGTTTGGTCCAATTTTGTTTTTTTCGATCAACTCCTAACTTCGGCCGAAACTTCAAACGAACGTAACTTTGCACTCGGGTATCCGATCGTAGGGATTTATTTTTTCATTTCGCATAATTTTTTAAGATCTACAACTTTTACAAGGATGAAATTTTCAAAACAGGAATTAGTTGTGGATATACGGGACCTTGGGAATTAGGGATGGCAATGGGTCGGGTTGGGGCGGGTTTTGTGAAACCCAAACTCATGGGTTTATCCGTAAAAAAACCCGGAGTAAAACCCGCTGGGTTTAAAAAACTCAAACCCAACCCATCCCGCTGGGTATCCGCTGGTTCATGGGTACCCGTGGGTTTTTGTGGTAAAAAATTTACAATAACAAATTTCTTTCAAAATAAAAATTTAACATCAATTTTCTCATACAAATTATTCATACAAAAAACAGCAATCTAGAACATACAAGCAAACCGCAAATGATCAATACAAATTGTTCAAAATTAAAGATAAACATCTATAAACAACAAGATTAATTGAAATCTTCTTCCTCGTCAAATAAGTTTCTTCACTCTCCACTCAATAATATCAACTTCATTCTAAACAATTAGAAAGAACAAATTATACATGTCTCCACAAACATAAATAATATTAGTTGTTTAAAGAAGATATATTATTTAGAATATTAAATATACCGGGAAAGTAATTATATGTGTGGGCAGGTACCCATGGGGCGGGTTTACCTAAACCCAAACCCAACCCAGTGAATAGTGTAGCGGGTGTCGCAACCGTCCCTCCGGGGGTCCGTCGTCGTCGCGTCGGCATTTTTTGGGAGTCGCCATCGATCTTACTGGGAGTGGATCGAACACTCGTCGGTTGGCTCTGACCTTAGGGCCAGAACCGAGAATTGGTCTGCGAAAATAGAGTTCTGGGTTCGGGAGTACGGTTACGTGTGGGGAAGTGAAATCACACCCCACAACGCCCTAAATCGGTACTACTTAAGTCGATAAGTTTTTATACGAGTTGGGTGTATTTTGGTAATAATTTTGTAATTTTAGGGTCCCACTGGACCATTAAATGATTTTATAGTATTAGTTATAATTTAATTGTACG